TTTGTGTCTTTTCAAGGTAAAGTTTCTTGTTTATTGTAATAGTTATTTATTTTTTAAGTCACTTAATATGTGTGAAATGTGCAAAGTTTTTGATTTCTTTTCCTTTTTATGTATCCTTGCTTAATTTTTGAGAGTTATACTACTAACTTTATTTGACCATATACTCTATGACTTTTATTATAGATTTTGCATAACCCAGTGATTATTATGGGTATAAATGTTTTGTTATGGTAGAACACTACCATTGTACACTAGAATTAGTTAGAGAGTTTTAAAATACTGATGCCTGAACCCCATTAAAAGTTATTAAATCAGAATCCCTGGTTATGGGGCTCAATAATTGGTATTTTTGAAATGCTCTCATTTGCTTTTTATGGCAGCCAAAATTGTGACTATTTGGAGTAGGGAAACCAGGAACCTTTGAAGAAGATAAAGAAAGAGAGGCTCTTATGAGAAGAGAGTATCTAAAGTTTTGCAGTAGAATCTTTGAAAACCTCATATTTAGGAAACTCTAATGAGTTGTTTTCTGCATTTCTATATCCCATAAGGACTGAGAGACTCCAACATTCTTCTTATGTATTAGGCAAAGTCAGAATAAGAATAACGGCTTCAGAGAACCATTTATTTTGAGTCATTGTGTAGTACAAAGCTATGTATTCTTCATGGAATTTTAATGCTGCATTTAAAAACATTCAGGCATGAAGAAAGAAAACAAGTAGTTGGAGTATACAGTCTGTGGCAAAATGCTGTTTATGACAACTATTATTAGGTATTTTTCAAGCTTGAGTCATCCTGTTGATTATTTTCAGTGCTTTACTATAATTACAGCTCCGGTAGTAGTTTGTTCTTTTACTGTGTGCCAGAATACATACTTTTTGGTGTAATGAACTCAGAGCATTTTAAAAAATATTTTATTTTTTTGAAGGTAGTAAAATACAACAGAACAAGATGGAATAAAGCCAGTTGAGACAGTGTAGTAAAATTGGTACAGAACTTCACAGCAGGTTACTGGGATAACAGTAATAGGTACCATAGTATATCTTGTTATCTTCACAATAGTAGTTCTTTCAATCAGGTACAGCAAAATCAAACAAAATACAGAACATTATAAAACTTATCAAAACAGAATATTGAATAGAGAAATACCATTCAACAGAACAAAGCAAAACAGTAATAAAAATATTCGCGTTCAAAGAGATGGTAGAAGGAAATCCCCTTTATTTGTTATATTGCATATGGTCAACCTCCCAAGAGATGCTCAGATCTCTGGCTCTCATTTGCTAACGGAATGGGGATGGGATGGGTATTTGATTTTCATCCCCGGCACCAGTAGACTTGCCACCATATACCAGGGAGGTGAGCTGGTTGCTTGGTTTCCCAGCACCCTAAGTTCCAACATAGCGCAGATCTTGGGAGACACTGGGTGGTTCTGGCCCTGAGGCAGCCGCAGCTTGCCCAAGCTGCAGAACTCAGAGCACTTAAATTACTACCTGTCTCCAGAAGACTGATTTACATCACTATACATCTGTTGGTTCAACGGTAGAAGGCAGAAAGGCTATGATGTACTTTCGTGGCTCTTCATTTTTAAAAACATTGAACAGTTTATTTTCTTTATATCATGTATTCATTCTTGTATACCCAGTACTACTGACCATTTTTGGTTTCCTAAAATAAAGTAGACATTTTAAAATTTAACTATTTTATAAAGCTGAGCTGCTATTTAGTAAAAGGTGAAAGATTTATACGATCTAAAGAGAAACCAGAGTATAAGATGCTTTTTAGTGTATATTCCTGATGTATTTTTTCTCTAATGTAAAATTTTTTTTTTCTCATGTAAAATTTCTCCTGAATAATTCTAAGTCAAATAAGTGTTGCATTTTAGTTTTGATTACAGTAGATGACATTAAAATCAAATTTAAAAACTAAAAACCATTTGAGATGATAAATTTCAGGTAAAAACAGTATTTTTATGATATAATATTATTATTTAATGTACAACTTTGAATTCTGAAAAGTCATTTAAAATCTCAAGCCAGTAATTTTTATTTTTCTAGGGCATAGGAAAATATGTGCTCTTGAGGTCTCTGTTTTAAAGTAGGTCTATTTATGATTATAGTATTTTTGATTGTGGTATTAGGGTTAGTTCACAAAGAAGGTTTATTTCTTAATTCTTCCAATTATGAAGATTCAAAAGAGGAACCATTATTTTAGTTAGAAAGCCAATTATGTTGAGAGAACTGTTGTGTGTCTGTAGCTTCTCATAAAGTATGGCATATGAGGAATGAATCTTGACCTAGAGGGACTTTTTTACTTAGATATACTCATGCTACAAAATAGGTGAGTAAAGGGAGCAGAGAATATTTCACTTTGACTTTTAGCCTCTAATTTATTGATAATGTGGTGAACAGAAGATTAAAGTTCGCTGTGTAATTTGTAACTGGCTTTAAGTTATTCTCATCAGTTTAGTGTAGATAATAGTTCTAAAAACTGCTTTTAGATATAAGGGCTTTTGTGTTCTGTTTCTTTCCTATTCCCTAAATATCAAGTTAGAACCAATTTAACTTATTTAAGTGAGATAAATTCGTATTTACAGGTGAGCTGTTCCATTTTAGCTATGTGACCTCAAACAGATTAATCTCTTAATACAGTTTCCACATAAATGAGACTAAAATACTTGTGTCATTATAGTGATGAAAGCATTTGTAAATAAGAGGAAGCCTATGAACTGGCAAAAAGTAGACAGTATTAGAGAGGAGGAGTAGAAAGTCATTTAGACACGTGAGATTAGCTGTAAAAAAAGGTGAGGTGAGAAAGGAGTAATGGAATTCATCAGCTCTACCAATTGGTTCTTTGTTACACAAGACCTGAGTGATAAAAGCAGTATTTATTTGTTAAATCTTAAGAGAAATGTTGTGTCCCCTGTGTATAACCTGGTTCATCTTTATCTAAAGCAGAGTTTTAATTTTTATTTCCCTAGAATTATTTGAGGGATTTAAAAACAAATTAGGGCAGTAGATAGAAGGGTTGTTGGATTGTGGGAATACAGAGAGAGAGGGCTTTGTTTCATAAAGAAATATTGAAGCTAGGAATGGTGGTGTGCTCCTGTAATCCAGGCTGCATAGGATGCTGAGGCAGGAGGATTGCAAGTTCAGCTCAGTTTGTATAACTTAGCAAGATCCTACCTCAAAAATAAAATATGAATCTGGAGGTGCAGCTCAATAGTTGCGATCTTACCTAGCAAGCGAAAGGTCCTAGATTCAATCCTCAGTACCTCAAAACAACACAAACAAATGTTGAGCCAAAGAAGCCAATCAAGGAGAAATTAAGGATACAGGAAAAGGGATAAAACCTAACAACTTCTGTGGGACATAAAGAGAGAATAGGAAATAGCAGGGTAAATAGCAAAACATCACAGGGAGCAAGACGGGAGGTAAATACCTCTTCTCACTCATTCTCTCCCTCATCTTTGCCCTCTCCTTTACAAAAAAAGCATCTCACAATTAAAAATGACCCTCATGTGTTCTCAAGACCTATTACCTATTTGTTTTATATAAATAGGTATTTATATATATTTATATAAATAGGTATTTATATAAGTATTATATATAATAAATATATATTTTTATATAAATAGGTATTTATATATTTATATAAAACATATATTATGGGATGTCAAAATAAGATTACCAAATTTGAATTTGATGAATCCAGGCTGTGACCAAGAATTTGCTTCTTTTAGGTTGTGATTCAGAGTCTTAAGCAATTATGGTTTATGATTCCATTGAAATGTTATAGAAAAAGAACAATTTTATTCATTTACATCAAAAGTAGTAAAATAGTAGTATGTTATTAGTAGTAGAATAGTAGTGTTTTTATAAATATTTGAAATTAACACGAATCCTTCCTGCTATGACAGTCTCTAGTAATTGTTTCTGCATAAAATTTTGAAGACCTATAGTGAAAAGCATTCCTCTATCACTTTTTTTTCATTAGGAATCTAATGAATAACAAATGATTTATTGTTCTAGTAATCTCTGTGTGCCCACTTTATCCCACCCAGCATTGTGGGTCTCTGCTATGGAGGCAATGTATAGAAATCCAGAGAATACCAGTATTTATGACACAGGCAGCTACAGAAGAGAAGGTACCAAAGACTGAGAAAGAAATTGGTGACATTGAGGCATTAAAATGTTGTAGGCAGAGCATGCTTTTAGTGTGTTGGAAAGCAAATGAGTAGTTTCAGTGTGGACTGCTAGAAAAGTCTTTAATCCTTTTCCTAGCATTTTGCATAGTCTCTATTGAATTTTGAAGCATTTGTAGTTGAAGTTGACAATATTAAATACAAATCACTCATAGTTTATTTCACAATTGTCAGAATCCTGCCATTTCATATTTATATTATTATTTCTATAAAGCTAAATATCTAAAGCTTTTGAAGTCTAAAATCACAGAAAAATGCGTACCTCTAATATAAATACTAATTTCCTTTTCCTTCTTTTCTTCCTCCCTTCCTTCTTTTTTCTTTTTTTTTGCCATGCATAGTGAATACATTCATCTTGGGGAATTTACATATATGCACATATGTACATATATAACATAACATTTTAATCATTTTTACTTCTCCTTTCCCTCCCCTCTCTATCTCTCACCATTCCTAGATCTCCTTTGCATCTTCACAAAGTCTGCCTTCCTATTTCCTATCATCTGTGTTTTCTTTTGCTCTTTATTTATACTTTGTATTTTTTATATAAGAGAAACTATATTTAATTTCCTGTATCTGATTTTTTTCACTTAGTGTTATGGTCTCCAGGTACATCCATTTTCTTACAAATGATTGAAATTTATCTTTTTTTATGATTTGTTTTTACATATTTTTTCCCCATGTAGTCGCTGTGCATTTGTAGTTTTTCTTTGGAGATGTGTCTAATTCAATTCAGTTGCCTGTGTTTTGGGCATCTTTAGTACAAATGCTAATTTTCCTTTTTCCTTTTTTTTTTTAGTCTTGGCTACTTATGATTCAGCAGACTGAACAACTTAGTAAGATAATGAAGGCACATGCAGAGGACCTAAACTCTGGACCCTTACATAGGCTTACCATGATGATCAAGGATAAGCAACAGGTGAAGAAGAGTTACATAGGTATTCATCAGCAGATAGAAGCAGAGATGATCAAGGTTTGTCTTTCCATATTGAATTTTTTAATTTGTTTAAATTCACTGAATATTTTATTTTGCATGACTTTAAAAGTATTGATCATTTCCTCACAAGAAATAGGTTTGGCGACATATATGGATTTGTGTGCGGGAGTGTGTGTGTACACTTGTGTGGGACCTTAAAAACTGAACTCAATGTGTTTATACTAACCCACATGCTAGCCCTTTTTTATTTTTTATATTGAGACAGTGGCTTGTTAAGTTCCCTGTGCTAGGCTGGAACCTACAGTCTTCCTGTCTCGGCCTTCCTGTCTCGGCCTTCTGAAGTGCTGAGATTACAGCTGTGACATATTATTACCATTTTATATACAAAATATTACTGATTGTAAGATATTTGTTACCTTTTATACATTTAAGAATAAATGTTTTCAACTATATGTTTGCACTATAATGTAGTTCTTTTAAAAATCATATAGAATATTTTACTTGTTTACTGAAATAACTTTTAGCCTTTTAAAAATTTAATATATAACACTAAGCATAAATAACAGAAAATAGAAGCAAAATAACTTAAGATATTTCTAAATAGTTTTTATACTTACAGCTTATTTCTTTTGATAGTTTCTTAAAGCTGTCTTTATTATGAAATTTTACCAGTACACAAAAGAAAAAAAAATAATAGCATGAACTTCTACCTACTCATCACTTAAAAATTCATTTTATTTTTTCCTATTGTCCCATTCACTTTTTCTTCTACACTGAATTACTTTAAAGAAAATCTCAAGTATGATTTTGTTAATAAATATTTTAGTATGTATTGCTAAAAAAATTCTTTAAAAGACACTATAGTATCCTTAATCTGCCTAAAATGCCAATATAATTCCCCAATGTTAATAAATATCCTATCTTTAATGATTGCCACTTAAATGTTTTTTTTACTATTGCTTTCTTTAAATCAGGGTTCAAATGTAGTCCATATTGCATTTGAATAATTCTCATTTAATCTTTAGGTTTTCCTTCGTGGCCTTTTAAAGAAAGTGCCATTTATTTATTGAAAAAAACTGAGTAATTTGTTTTATAGCAGTGAGTTTCATTCATTTTGGATTTGATGTTAATATCTTATTATATCTCATTTTCCTTCATCTTGTATTTTTCCTGTAAAGTAGAAATTAGATTTACAGGCTTGAGGAGATTATTGTGTTTTTTGGACAAGAATATACCTAAGTGGTCTTGTATACTTGCTGATGTTTTATGTCCAAAGTTGTACAGTGCCCACTTTATTTTTCTGTGATGTTAAACTTCACTAGTGAGTCTCTGTGCTATCAACTAGATAATTTTTCCTTTTTCAGTATCGAGGATTGAGTTACATCCCCAATACTGAATCTTGGGGACTTCATACTGAGCTGTCTCCCCAGCCCTTTTCATTTATTCATTTTTGAAGCTCAGTGACAGTGTGTTACTATGTTGCTGAGGCCGTGTTTGAAATTACCATCCAAGAAGCTTTCCATTAGACTTTCACCTAATAATTTTAGAAGATTAATGCTTATTGCTTAGATTATTACTTTATTTGAATTTGTGCAACACTTGCACAGTATTTTACTTTTATCATTTTCTACCCTTATCTACTTTTCAAAGCAAGTTAGCTAAAATTTTTGTGTAAAGAATATATTCCTGTATCAACTCTTTGGTTCTATAAACTATATTTCATTTAGGAAAACCTAGAGAAGTGCTTACTTTATCTAGTTAATTTGCCAATGTGCGGAATAATGAATTGGTTCTTCACCAATTCAGAATTAACCAGAATTTTGGATTTGATGTTAATAACTCTGGTTAATACAGAATTAACCAGAGTTTATCTTGAAAGAATGATTTGGCTTATTACGCAGTGTTTTTCTCTGTGCCATCAAGAACATTTGTGATTCAGAATCTTTCAGTATGTGGTCTCAGATTGTTTTCCAAGTTGCTGGTGCCTCTTCTGCTTGTTTTTAATGCTGTCTCTTTCTCAGTATTTAGAAGGCATACTGGAAGATGTACAAACTTCTGGGATTTATGTTTTTACTTAAATTGTTTAAGTAGCTTTTTTACTATCAGGTCAAAGAGTTACATTTGTTTATTTATCCACATAAACAGTAGTCAGATTCATACATGTTGTGTGTGACCCCTGGCTTGATTGCTGCCTGGTCAAAGTGCTTATCTCTGTGAATAGGATGCATCTTCTTTACAGAGATGTTAAAGTGTTTAAAAAAAGTGCATGTTAGAACTGGTGAAATAGGATTGTTAAGTTATTATTAAAGAACATGCATTACAATAAAAATACTTAGTTTTTAATGATAGAAAAGACTTATGTTGCAAATTACTTACCATAACATTTCATTTTTTGAGGCACTTAAAATATTCTTGACTAGTTTAAATTTAAACATTTAGCAAATTATGCATTTTGTTTCTTTGACAGGTTACAAAAACAGAATTGGAGAAATTAAAATCTAGTTATCGACAGTTAATCAGAGAAATGAATTCTGCCAAAGAGAAATACAAAGAAGCTTTAGCTAAAGGTATGACAAAATTATGAAAAATGTTTATGATTTTTATTTTTGTAAATTGAAAGTTGTCTTTATAAGCAGCAGAGTAATTCCATTTAGAGCAGTTAAATTATGAAGTATCAGAATGAACCAGACCGCTTGTCATTCTATTTTTTTTTTTTTTGTATTTTAAATGATTAGTAGTTTCTCTTTCTATCTCTCTTTCTCTCTCTTTTTTCTTTTCTGAGACAGGGTCTTTCTGTGTAGTCCAGGCTATTTATTTAAAAAAATTTTTAGTTTTTTTTGGTACTGGGAATTAAACTTACAACCTCTTGTTTGCTTAAGCTGCTGAGCTAAACCCCGGCTTTTTTTTTTTACTTTAAGTTTGGTATATGTCTTTGAAGGGATTTGTCCATTTCATTAAAGTTTTTGAATTTATTAAGCTGTCCATATTATTCCTTTACTTACTTTTACATTTATGGCAAAGTTTCCTTTTTCATCTTTGGTCTTAGTACTTTGTATTATTTTCCCCTAATAATCTGGCTAGAGGTATATCACATTTATTAGTCTTTTTAAAGATCAACTTTGGATTCTTTGAGTTTTACTAACATTTTCCTTTTCATTTTATTGATTAATGCTGTGCTGTTTGTTATTTCCTTCTTTAGGATGGTTTAGGCTTATTTGCACTACTATTTTGCAGTGCTGGGATTGAACCAAGGGCCTTGCTAGGCAAGTGTGCTACTACTGAGCTATAACTAAAGTCCTCAGAAATTTTTGTATGTGTTTTGTTTATTTTCAGTTCAGAATACTTGCTAATTTTCTTTTTTGACTTTTACTTTGATTCATAGATTATTTAGAAGTATATTGTTTAGTTCCTTAATGTTTCGACACTTTTCTAGAGTTTTTTTTTCTATTTTTTGGTTTTTAAATTAATTACATGGTGGTATAAGAATACCTTTTATGACTTTATTACTTTAACATTCATTCATACACTTCATTGTGGTTTATAATATAGTCTATTTTAGTAAATGGTTAACATTTGCTGGGTAAGAAAGTGTTTCCTGCAGTTTCCTGCACTTAATCTGTCTTGTCAGTTTGGTCTTGTTGGTTTAGTAGTGTTCAAATTTTTTATGTTCATAATGATTTTGGGGATACTTGTTTTATCAATTATTAAAAGAGGTTATTGAATTATCTCCAATTATAATTGTGAATTTATCTGTTTTATTTTTCACTTAAGTATAACTTTAAATATTGTTTCATTATTTTGTAAATAGTGTTAGGACCTTACAGTGATATAGTTCTGTTTCTTTTCACTTTTGTTGTGATGTATTTTACTTTTTCATATATAATAAACTTCTCATATGGTTAGTGTTTTTGCCTTTGCCTAATCAATTATCTTTAAAATAAATTGCAATACTATATAAACTATCATTCATCATCTTGCATTTTTATTCCTTCATCTACAGTATCATTTTAATTAGTCTATTTACCTAAATATTTCTTTTAATATAAATCTGTAACTGATTTTTTCAGCTTTTCTAGGTCTGAAAAAGTCTTCATTCCACTTTTATTTTTGGTACTGAGTAGAATTTGACAGGTTTTTTTTCTGTTTATGCTTTTAAAGATGTAGCTATATTGCCTTGTCAAGGAAAAAAATCTACTGTAATCTTATATTAGTTCTGCAGGTTTTATTTCCCTTTGCTAACTTTTAAGATTTTCTTATTACAGTTTTGAGTGATTGAAACATGATTTATTATATCATAGTTTAAATTTTAAAAATCTCTTGTATTTTTTTGAGCTTCTTATACCTGAGAGTTTATGGGTTTTTTTTATCAAATTTGAAAACATTTGGCCATTATTTCTTCACATACTTTTTTTGCCTCTCTCTTCAGACCCCAGTTACCCATATATTAGGCTGTTTGTACTTGTCCGACAGCCTCTGCTCTAGTCAGTTTTTCCCCTTGTTCTTTTTCTCTGAGTCCCATTTTGGTTAGTTTTGTGGTGTCAAGAAGCACACTGTCTTTTTTTTTCTGCAACGTCTAGTCTACCTTTAATCCTATTGAGTGTTTTTTAAAAATTGTTCTACCTGTGTATTTTGGCTTCATAAGTATGATTTGGGTCTTAAAGTTTCCACTTACCTACTTTTTGACAAAAGTATGACTAGGAATAACTGCTTTAATGTCATCCACTAACTGCAATGTGTATTGGCTACTTTCAGTTGATTTATTATTCCTTTATTGTGGTAGATTTTCCTGTGTCTTTGCATGCTTCTTACCTGTCGTAGTGAATTTTACTTTGTGTACACTGGGTCTCATTAACATTTATTTGCTTTTTTGCCTTTCAGTTATGTGGTTGGATCCCAGAACCTTGTATGTACAAGACTAGAGCTGTACCATTTTTAACAGCATCTGAGTCCTAACATTTTTAATGCTAGGAGACTTTTCATAGGAGAAAATGTAAAACGTACTCATTTACAATAGAGAAAGAGTGATAAATTTTTACTTATGAAATCATTGAACTTTGGAAATAATATTATTGGTACCTTTTTTGAGTTCAGGCTCACCCTAAGATTCATGTTCCTATTTTTTTCTGTATGACATGTATAAAAGTACTTTTCCATGTACAACATATATTTCCTTTGGTATAATGAACTGGGAATTCATATAAGGCTGTATCTAACTTTTCTTCAGTGTAAACTCAATAATTCAAGTCTTTGTTTTTGTTTGTTTGATTTTTTGAGCCAGGTCTTCCTGTGAGATTCAGGCTGGCCTTGAACTCATTTTGTACCACAGGCTGACATCAAACTTGTGGCAGTCCTCCTGGCTCAGCTTTCAGAGTACTAGGATTACGGGCGTGCACTCTTATGACTGGCTAATAACTCAAGTCTTTGTATACTATGTGTGATATATATATGTGTATGTATACACTGAAATATCATTTAGTTATATATTCTGACTACCTGATTGATTCTACATGACTAGAATTATCCTGTGATTTTGTATCTATTAAGCTTCAAAATACTCATGATAGTATTTGTGAGACTTTCTGTTACATGAATAGACATTGAGTGCTTTTGCTTTATTTATCATGCATCATATTTAAGAAAAAATACTATTTTACACTTGCTCATGACAGTCAAATTTGGAAAATACTGAACTCACACATCTCCTCTTATGTTGAGTTGGGGAACAAACTCTTCTTTTTATATGAGAAACAAAAAAGTGCTAAGGTATTGTTAAACTGGATACGTACAATTCCTGTACAATTTATACAAAGTAAAAGCTGCCTATTACTAGAACTGTGGGGAGTAGCTTTGAATCTCATTCAAAAGTAAATGTTTCTGCAATTGGGAAGTAGATTTTCTTAAATAACCTCTTCATGCATTATGAATAGTTTTGTGATATTTTATAGCCAATTAAAATTGATTAGATTTTTTTGAGTTGTCTCTTTAGTGTACCTTAATTATAAAAACCAGTTTGAAATGAGTTCAATTTGAGACAGATGGTTAAATTTATACAGTATTAAAATAAATCCAAATTTTAAAAAAGAAGACTTTTTAAGGAGTCACTCGTGCTGCTTTTTCCTTTTCTTTTCTTTTTTTTTTTTTGTCTTTTTCCTTTTTATCGATACCGAGGATTGAACTCATGACTGGCTGCTTGCAAAGCAGGCACTTATGCCACTGAGCTAAATCCTCAGCCCCTCACTCGTGCTTCTTAAGGGTTGATTTCTTCAGTATGAACTCAGTAAGAATGGTAACTATCCTTCTTTTTCAATAATTTAAACATTGGAATTATGTAATGTGGTGTTACAGCTTATATATAGATGTATCCCCACCCAAGGCTCATGTGGTCATGGGATGCAGTGCTGGGATTAAGACTGTCCCATTCTGGGTGTTAGTTTTACCTGCCCTAAAAGTGGGTAGCCTGGATAGATATAAGGGACAGAAAAAGGGTCCCTGCTTGTCACTTGTTGCTCTCTGCCTGCCATGAACTATTTCTCCTCTGTGATATGCCCACCCTGTCTTGGAGCCAGCCAACAAATCTCAACAAACTTTGAGACAAATAAACCTTTCTCCTTTAACTTGTGTCAGGTATTTTGTCTCAGCAATGAGTGACTAGGATGACAAGTGACTAGGATGTGGTAAGTGGAGGTTTTCTAAATATTCAGGCATTCAAATTTAATTGGTTCATATATGGAAGAAATACATTTTGGTACAGAGTTGCTAAAGTTTAAGGTAGCATTCCAGCTACAATTGTTAATTTTCAGTTTTATTGAAATTATCTGAAAGTGAGCCATTGTTTGTTTTTTTAAAAATTTGCTCATTTATATATATATATATATGAAAAACTAGATATATATATATCTAACTTATGGCATGAATGCTTTTCATTGCAGAGAGCTTAATATGACTTTACAAGGTCATTAAGAGTAATGACACTTTTAGTTACTAGTTTAACTTGCATTGGGATAAACCTGTGCAGAAACTCAAGTGACAATTAAAATATTGGCAATAGATGGTGAAATAATGTGGAACAGGATATGCTACATGATGCATTTATATTTTTTGTCTAACCTCTTCAAGATAAAGTACATACATTAATTTGTCCATACTTTGCTTAGTTTTGTTAAATAAGCAAATCTCAGTTTCAGAGAGAAAGATACTAAGACAGCTTGTATTCTTTTTGATTTTCTTTTATATTTTTTAGTCAAACTCCTTAGAAATACTAATTTTTAACGTAGCAGACTGTCAGCCTCCTGAGTCCTGGGATTTTAGGCGTGCACCACCGTGCCCAGCTCCTTTTTCCCTATCAAGGTTTCTCCCTAAAATTTTAAAACTTCTTTATAATTTTAAAGTAAAATTGTAACTCTAAAACTCTACCACTAATAGTCCATTCTCTTTTGTGGATGGTACAGATATTTTTGACTGGTTTGGTATTTGTCATTTGGCTTTACTTCAGAATGATGATAGTCTAGGTACTACTGTATTTGTAATAAATTGTTCTTTGAATCTTGTATCTTGTGCAAGCATCCAT